CTGCCGTTACTTTTCTGAATGGGTGGAAGGATTGAGAGATTTCTCAGGAGTTAAGATTGAATATTAGAACACGGGAAGTCCCAGACGGCCCAGGGTGGTTGATCCCCCTCTATGCCCACAGTGCCTGTTTACACCGCCTCCTGGTTGACTCGCATCAGGAACTCTGACACGAACTCTGTCCCAGCTGCTTTTTTCTCTTCTTCACTAAGCGGAGGGACTGAGGCAGAGAACTGTGAACCTTGTCTGTTTTGAGGTTGGTCTAGTCTCTCAGCTGGAGAGTTAAGTCATTTAAAAGTCATTAAGCAAAGTAAGAAACACCGTCTTAAATACTATTTTCATAAAAGCCTTGATGATTAGCTGCTCCAGGGAGAGGGTGCAGAAAGTCCTGCTTTATAGCATTCGTCAGGTTTGGTGGTAGAGACACCGCCCCCCATTGCCGGTGTCGAGCTGAACAAGTAACATCCTTGTCCCCGTGCTGTGAGCTGGGAAGAGATATGCCCATCCCTGCCCCTGGTCAGGGGCTGCGGCAACCCTGCATCACTGAATCCTTAAACTGCAGGAAAGTGGGTCAGAGGATCAGAGGATGCTCCTACACAGTACAAGAATGCAGACTGCTGAGCGTTAAAGAAACAGTGGGGCAGCATCATGGCTAATGAAGGGAGCTTACAAACCAGTTTATCATGCTGTAAACAGGGCCTGCCTTAATCAGTAATTTTGCAGGGGAGCACACAGAACACAGCTTTGGCCGTAGTCGGCTTGGCTGCAGTTTTCCCCCAGCCCCTCCTTGGTTCCAAACCCTGTTAAATGACCCTATCTATTTGTTATGCTTCAGGAATCATGCCAGGGAGCTCAGCCACACTGACATGCTGTCATCTCTCAGCACCCAGGATTCTGACAAGTGAAAAGGTCGCCATGCCTTCAGACATCAGCATCGCAAAGCAGCCAGGGTAATGGCTCGTTAAAAGAATGGTCCTTTTGACCATTCTAAGCAGGAAAGGGAACCGTAGGCCGGCCTGAGTATTTCCAACTAAATGCTGGGTTCATTACCGGAATTAAAACCCACATTTTGATGGGACCCTCATCTAAGAGAGAAGCTTGAGTAAAAGAGAAACATTTCTCACAGAATAATATGAGCAAGTCATAAACCTGAGCTGCATGGTTTAGTTGGAATAAGTCTCCCACACAGAATGCAATAAAGCTCGTATATAATTATTTTTTAAGAAAGGAAAGGGCAGGGGCCAGGGTGATGGCTCAGTAGGTAACGGCACTTGGCATCAAGCCTGATGACCTGAGTTCAGTTTCCAGGACCCACAAGGAAGGAGGAGAGCCAACTCCTGCAATTTGTCATCCATCCTCACATGTGTGCACGTGTGTGTGCGCACTCACAAGCACACAGAGGCACACCCTGAATAAATACAATGTAATAAATATTTTTTAAAGGAAATGAAGGGCAAAAAGCAAGCAAGTCCTCAGAGCTTGTTTTTAGAGAGCAGTTTTCCTCACTTGTTTGAAGACACTAGGACACTATACTCCAAGGGGTTCTGGCTTCCCACTGCCTAGGATGCGGGAAGTCACACTTGTCATGTCCTCATGGGAAACCTGAAATTTCTTTTAGCGTTTTATAGACTTTCCCTTTCTACAGCTACTGTAAGGTGGAAGCCCTTGCCCATGGCTTTGAAACACCCATGAGACCATAAAGCATTGAATATGGATTGGTTTACAGACCACCTGTGTGTGTGTGTGTGTGAGAGAGAGCGAGAGAGGGGGGGGGAGAGAGAGAATTTTCTTGATAAACACAAGGGCATTGTAAGAACCAGGGTCATCAGAGTAATCAGGGAGCAGGTAGGGGTCACCTTTAAACGCTCGAGTAAATTTCGGCTTTCCAGGTTCTGAGTCGTGTTTTCCGGCTTTGAGAGGAATGGTAAAAAGTAAATTATGTCCTTCTTCTTGACCATGGGCAGCTTTGGGATCACTAGGAGCCCTAACTCGGCCTGTGGCTCTTGGGAGAAAAATATCTTGATTCATGAATTTGAGCCCAAACACAAGGTATTCTTAGAACAGAAACCAATGCTCAAATCCTTTGTGGAGGCTGCACCATGGTGGTGGTGGTGTGTGGCAGGTGGGGGGGGGGGGCGCAGTTCTGAGCTGGTTAGTGTCTGGCAGGGCAGGAAGAGGGAGACTGACTCATCTCTCTGAGTGCCCCCCTGCAACACACGGTTGCCAACAAAGGTTCCTGCTCCCTCACCATAGACTCCAAATCTTCAAAGCTCTCATTTTCTATCATCTCTGTTCTTGCCTGGGGAAGGCAAGGTGGTGCTGCTCCTTGGCAAAGAGGTGTGGCACTTTCTCAGAATACCAAACGTAGAATTGCTGTGTGACATGAATTCCACACCTGGAAATTTACCCCAGGACAGCGAAACAGGTGTGCAAATGTGTACTGCAGAATTAGTCAAGGTAGCCTAAGATTGTAAACACCCTTGAGGTGCAGGAGCTGGTGAGTTCATGCAGAATGCAGAAGAGGCCCACAATGGAGCACCACCAGACAATTAAAAAAGCAAGATATAGACCATCCTGTAATGTGCCCGAACCTTGAGTCCACTGCACTTAATGAATCCAGAAGGCCAGACACAAGAATAGATACTATATGATCCCGTTTATAAGAAGTGTCCAGAAAACATAGCAAAAGGTTACATCACTAATTGCCTAGACCTTGAGGAAGAAGAGGGGGAAGGCTGGGATTAGGCAGGGGGAATCTTCCTAGACTAATATAAGGGCTCTAACATTTGATATGACATGAGATCTTTCGACTATAAAATTGTTTTCAGGTTGTTTATTTTGCATATATACATATACAGTATGTATGTACATATATGTAATTAAGACTGTATATGCACACAATACACACCAATATATACGCACATAGTACACTTGTTGAATAGTGCCACCTCTCACCCCAGATTCATGTTCTGTTGACAGCTCAGACTATGAACTTATGAAGAAATACCTTCACTGCACATGTAATTAGTTAACCTGAGAACAGGCTGCACTGATCGGATCTTCATCTTCATTAATTGCAGCTGCAGAGCCTCTGTTTTCACAGAGAGCCATGGTATAAGGGTCCAGAAGACCACACATTTCGGAGGAACACAAATGCAGTTTGACATTAGAAACAGGGTGGGAGGGGGACTTTCTTCCTGTGCTTAAAGAAATGAGGGAAATGTGAGAATGTGGAGTTGGTTTAGAGAGGTTTTTTTTTTTTAAACTTCCTGGCCCCACTTGAGGCACCACATTCCTTTCCTATGTTTTTGGATTTGCCTTTTCGCTGGATGCTTTAGTGTCAACTTGACACACCTGGGTGGAGTGACTCACCTGAGGAACTGCCTCCATTGGATTGGCCCATGGCCAGGTCTGTAGAGCATTTTCTTGATTGTTGAGTGGTGTGGGAGGGCCCAGCCCACTGTGGGTGGTGCCACCCCTGGGCAGGTGGGCCTGTGTTGTATAAGAAAGCAGGCTGAGCAGGGGCCGGGGGAGCAAGCCGGTAAACGGTGTTCCTCCGAGGCCTATGCTCCAGGTTCCGGCCCTGAGTTCCTGCCTTGGCTTCCCTTGATAATGGACCGTGAGCTATAAGCCAAATCAACCCTTTCCTCCCCAAGCTGGTTTTGGTCAGTGTTTATGTCACAGTAAGAGGGTAACTAGAACAGCCTTCAAAATTTTATGTCTGTGATAGATCAGGATCTGTATCTGAACTTCTACCCAGAATCATTAGGGGCCCGATTCTCAGTTGTGGCAGGTTGTACCCTCATGTGTTTTGTAGTTGTGGTGGCCAGCTTGTGCTCAGGAGCCTTATCTGGGAGGATTCAGCGGAAGGATTTCACAGCCCTCTAGGTGTGTCCGTGTTTGTGTTGCTAAATTCCCCAAGCCTATTGTCAAATGAGGGTCACTCCAGTGTTAATTCTTTATCACGATTTCATTCCAAACCTGCACGGAAGGGCCTGTGACAGGTTCTCAGAACTGTCTTTCCTCTCTGTAACACAAGCCAAGCTGGTTTGCATGGCCCTTTGCCATTTGTGGTTTACATTTTTACTTTGTTTCTGCTCTTGCCCTGAAGGTGGAGGCTTTGGGTGCCTGAATGAGAAAGGCTGACTTTTAACTCCCTGATTTTCAGCCAAGTAAAGCACCCCACCATATGACGAGAACCAAATTGCAATATTGCGTTTCTAGTAGCTTTCCAGTATCCAGTTTTGTTCGGTGCCTGTTTTCCCTCTCAAGTTCTTGTAACCTTGGGAGGCCTTTAGGAAGGTACTTTTAAGAATAGACCGTCCAGGATTCGAGGTCATTCAAAGAATTGGGAGTGGGGTTTTATCTCCCGAGGCTAAGGATGGAAACTACAGATTAATTCTGGGTGGGAGAAAGGGAGCTTGCAAGGTTTCAAAGATTGCCTTTTTATCAGTAAATTGGGGATGAGGTTTCCTGTGCTACACGACACACAGGAAGGTAGGTCTGAGGTCTCCCGCTGACTGCTGTAGATGTGCAAAGTATGTAACATCCGAGCATAATGCAAAGGCTGCAAAGCACTTACAAAGATTGCTCTAAGTTGACTAGTAAGGTTCCATCTCCATGGCTGAAAGTGGTGTCAGAAAAGTAGATGATTCTGAAAAGAATAACATAACCCTGCATGTTCAGTCCTTTCCAGGCTAACCCGTGGTGTAATCATTTTCCTGTGTGTTCTGGATACAAAGACCATGCCCCGCCCCCCACAACTTCCTCCAACAGGATGGGATGGAATGCTGGCCCCTCGAATCTGAACCCACCGGGCATTTCCTGCCCATTTAGTGAAGCTTCATCTCCTCTTTCTGTTGCTTATCATGATTCTTGGTCCATAGTTTCTTCAGTAAATTTTATCTCAAAGGAATAAAGGCATCATTAGCTGAGGGCGGTGGTGGAGGGATCAAAGTGCATGCAGCTTTGCTGAACAAGGTATGTCCTTTGTGGTTTTTCAGTTCCTGCCATGATAACGTCCTATCCCAACACTACCCTGGCCACGCAGGGTCAAAAGAAGGAGATGAGCTGCACAGCCCATGGGGAGAAGCCCATTATTGTCCGCTGGGAGAAAGAGGATAGGATCATCAACCCTGAAATGGCCCGTTATCTCGTGTCCACCAAGGAGGTGGGAGAGGAGGTGATTTCTACTCTGCAGGTAAAAGCAAAACGCCACAAATACAAGACAGCATAATTGCACAGTCCTGGAAGAAGTTTTTTAAAAGTTGTCTCCTTCACGCACTCGTACACTTGACAGTGATGAGCTGTGAACATCCTGTTGGAGTCCACTCGAGAATCTCCATCCTTCTGCCCTTCCGCAGTAAAGATTGCTAGGGTGCTTTCAAAGTTTGTGCTCACAGCAAAATTATTATAAACACTCAAGTGGTTTGATCTTGAAAGTTATCCCCAGAGAAATGACAGCCTCTGGTGTGCACCTGTTTAACCTCATATAAAAACATCGGGTAAGTTTTGGAACAATAAAAAATATTTTGTTGGGGTGGAGAGCTGCCTCCAGTGGTTAGGAGCACTTGCTGCTCTTGCAGAGGACCCAAGTTTAGTTCCCAGCACACACATTGGGTCACTCACCTGTAACTCCAGCTCTGGGGGATCTGACACCCTCTTTTGGCCTCCCGAGACACCTGCACACATGTGCACATACCCACACACAGACACACAAATATATACATGTAGTTAAAAATAAGTATTTTTTAAAAAGAATAATACTTTGCTTCTTTGGAGAAATGGAATGCAAAAAAAATATTCTGTCATTGATTTAGAATAACGAGAGCCAGGAAGACGTGTGTTCTCTATTTTTTAAACATTGCTAGTTATTAACTGAGCAGTGCTTTTATGACGGGGAGGGTCGATGCAGAAGTATGTGCATAGGAAGGAATTTAAAACGCTGTTTGGAACAGACGGTGGTGCTCTCTCCAGGGTTCTATCCTGGAATTCATGTGGTCCAGACACCGTGGGACCCGAGCCCCGTGGTGGTGCAACCTCAGTTCCATAGGCAGCTACCTTCAGACGCCAGACGTGAGGATGTTCAGGTCATTTATATGAACTCCAAAGCTTTGCATATGACACACACATCCTCCTGTGCACGTTAAACCCTCTATATCGCTCCTCATACTGAAATGCAGTGCGAATGCTGTGCAAACAGTGGTGCTGATGGCTTAGGGGATGGCAGCACGACAGCGTGTGCGTGTTTGGCACAGATGTTGTGTCTTTCCAGAACTATGGAGTCTGTGGGAGCAGAATGGTGGGTACAGAGGGTCAGTGTATTTGTAGATAGGTTTCTTTAAGCAAGGTCACTTTGGGTTCTTCCGAGACAAACCATGAGGAAAAAGATAGGGATGTTATGTGTGGCATATCTATCAGCCTGATCATAACTCACATATATCACACATCCAGTTAACGACCTGCTTTGCATGGAAATAGTTTGCACCCAGAGGGAATAGGTGTGTATGGGTGTGTATTTGTGTGTGTGCATCTGTGTGTGCCAGAGTGTGATGGTATGTGTTGGCTTATGGGTGTGTATATCTCTGTTAGTATGTATATATGTGAGTTTGTGTGTGAGAGTGGATGTGTGTGTCTATGGGTATGTTTCTGTGTAAGTATGTATCCTTTATGAGTGGATCTGTGTGAGTATGAATGCGTGTCTGTGGATGTGTGTATCTGTGTATATGTGTGTAGTATGTATCTCTATGAGTGGGTCAATGTAAGTGTGGATGTATCTCTATGTGAGATGTGTATGTGTGTGTCTGTGGGTATGTTTCTGTGTATGCACTATCTATGTGAGTGTGGATATGTGTCTGTGGATGTGTGTATCTGTGTGTATGTTTGTGTGTAGTATGTATCTCGATGAGTGAGTCATTGTGTGTATATGTGTCTGTGTATGTGTGTATATTTGTTTGTAAATATGTATCTCTGTGATATGAGTGTGTCTGTGAGTGTGTGTGTGTCTGTTGTATCTGTGTGTGCCTATGTATGGGAGTAGGGAAGGGTGTGTGCTGGGCCTGGCAGGAAGATAAGAGAGCACTCTCCAGCCAAAGTCATCTGCTGATCTCTAGTTCACCCTACTAGAGAAGATGACCATCTGTCTTTCTGCTTCGGTCAACAGATTTTGCCAACAGTGAGAGAAGATTCTGGCTTCTTCTCCTGCCATGCCATCAACTCTTATGGGGAGGACCGTGGAATAATTCAACTCACAGTGCAAGGTAGGAAGCAGACAATGGCCGTTTGGAGACAGGCAGGGTCTGCCTGGATCCCAGCCTGCTAGGAACACTTCCAAATTTCAGGCAATCCTGAGTATGTATGAAGGCCCTGCTAACTCCAGATTTTTTTCAGAGCCTGTGATCACGTCAGATTGTAGCCCTGAAACATAGGGAACAAAACCCTTGTGGAAACCAGGGCAGATGAGCGGTCAGGAGCATGGTATGCTGGGTGCAGACATGCTCAGTGGGATGCTTTCCTCGCTCCATCTAAGCGAGGAGTAGGTGCTGGAGTAGGGAGATACTGCTAGGGGTAGGGAGCACACAGCCCACAGCCCACACGGAAAACTGACCCAGTTCACAGCACCATTACATGTGTGCCCCCTGGTCATTTTGCATAGGCTACTTGAAACCTTATGGAGTAGATGATCACAATGAAGGGGGTGTTTAACAACTGACGACAAACATGTTTTGAGTCAGAGATCCAAACTAGAACAGTTTTCATTCACATCCTGCAGGTTTGGCCGAGTTCCACACATACCATGAACAGGACGACATCTTATATCAATGGCATCATGCAGTGTAATTAGAAATAATTATCAATAAACGCTTTCAGATAGGCAGGACCTGGCCTTGCCTAATGCAGGCCACATTCAGCTTTTCCTCTAGAGTTTATGCCTGAGCTTAGTCTGAACTAACCCCTGCCCTTTCTGTTGATGGCACAGAGCCCCCAGACCCTCCCGAGATCGAGATCAAGGATGTCAAAGCACGCACAATCACTCTCAGGTGGACCATGGGGTTTGACGGCAACAGCCCCATCACTGGCTATGATATTGAATGCAAAAACAAATCAGGTAAGTCCTTTACATCCCCCCTCCATCTCAGCCTCAGAGTCCCTGACTTCCTCCACCCGCGCTCACACCTCACCTGCACTTACGAAGCTCAGACAGTGCTCTTCCCATCAACCATTAATTCATTGCATGGCTGTGTCCAGGTTGCCCTCCATGCCCAAGTTCAGCCCTGCCTCTTCCTTGATGGCCTGGCTGGGCCTCAGTCTTGCTCTCTTGACCTTGGCAGGTGTCCCTGCCACCCACAGGGCACGCAGACAGCTGCCAAAAGAAAGAGGCTCCTGTTACTAGCTTTCCTAATCCCAAACCCCCTTTACTTCCCACTTCCTCAGATAGATGACTGCCCTAGAGTGCAAGCTTGGTCCCCCTGCCCTTCACTGTGGGCTCTAGCATGCCAGGGTCTGCAGGATACGGCATATAGTGGGTTCCTGCAGAACAGGATGAGCTAATCCTCCTGCAAGGGTCAGTGGCTCTGCAACAGCCTCCTGGAAAGGCCCTAGGGACAGACCAGGGAGATACTGCCAGGGGTAGGGAGCACACAACCCACATTGAAAACTGACCCAGTTCACAGCACCATTACAAGTGTGCCCCCTGGTCATTTTGCATAGGCTACTTGAAGCCTTATGTTCCCTCTGGCTGAGGACAGACCACCACCCCTATGGCCTCTAGTCAGAATTTTACTGTGTCTTATAAAAGCTGCAAAGGAAGGCAAGCCCATCTGCACGGAAAGGGTTAATACAATCCTTAGAAGCTACAAAAGCGGCCTTTCTTCGTGTTTTCCGGGCTGGTGTGTTGATTCAGATTGCCTTGTCTGGAGTGATTTGGTCTCTGAACTGAGCTGTAACAACAAATCAAGCTCAAGCTAGCTGGGAAAGGCAGGTCCATAGGGCAGGGTATCTTGATAGCACTAAGAACCAGGACCAGGAAATGGAGACAGTAGATGACAAACCTGTTGAGGATTTGAGGAAAGCAGAATTAGGAGCTGGTGTGGAGGGAGAGCTGTGACTTGAGAACAGTGTGTGAGATCACTGGTTTGGGCACACAGATGAACAGAGGGGCGGCTCAGCTCACTGCCCTCAGTGATGCAAATGGGAACAAGAAAGGACTCCCATGGGGCAGTGGAGCTCCAAGTCACAGTGCCCTGGGAAAGAGATAGGGTAGCACTCATGGCATGGGAAGCTGTAGTGACCTGGGTGAGCTGACTTAAGACAGTGCTGATCAGAGCAGCAGGTCTTTCAGGGCCAGGACAAACAGGCCCTTCTCAGGGCCAACCGGGAGAGAGGACAGTCTTGCTGATAACTGTAAAGAAAAGGGTCAGAATCGGGCAAACAGCAAGAGGCCTGTGGTGCCATTCTGAAGTGAGGCAGAGGCTTCCAGGCTGAAGAAAGCAGGGACAGCCCCGCCTTCCCCAGGCTGAGCACTGGGGTGCTCTTACTCCTGGGACAGAACTCACAGATGTTTCCCACCACAGGGCAGCCAGACCTCTGTCGCAGCCAGAGGATGGTGACCAACAGCAGGGGGCGTTGGGATCCGGTCCATGCTGGCCCATCCGGCCCATGCTGGCCCTCTGCCTTTCTGTCTTCCTTTCTCTAGCTTCATCTGTGGAAATAGGGCATCACAGAGGCCACAGGCCACCCTTCCCTGGACCACAGTGTCCTCACGCCTCCCTAGAGCTCCCTTTTTTCGTGCCTCTGTATATTAACTCACAAATCTACTGCACTAGGCAGGAAGATGGTTGGCTCCATCCACCTGCTCGGTCTATTTCCATCCTGCCGATTGCGTTTAGTACCTGATAGGTGATAGACGCTGAGTAGATGTGTAAGGAGTCTTTGAGTCTGGAGTGTATGGAATGTTTCACTCATTGCTAGGCACAGCCAAACTCTGACAAATGCAGCCGTTCATATTGTTCAAATAAGCATCAAATGCTTAGGAGCAGAATGTTCCAATACACGTTTTCCCTAAACTTCTCATGCCCCATTGAAGAAATTTCAGCAAGCTCTCCCAAAATGCCCTGCAGGTTTCTTTGAGGCAGAGGCTCTGATTTTCTTTGTTTGCTTAGAGTTCTCTGATTTTCTTAGATCCCTAGCACTGAGCATGATGTCAGGTGTCCAAAGAGTGTACACAAAGACTTATCGTATGTACTTCACACGTAGATGAAATCTAAGACGCATTCTTACCAGCAGCAGGGTCTTTAAATGTAGAAATTGATGAGCCTCCACACGACCCAGTGGGGAAAACCCTTGTCTATAAAGCACAGCCAGGGTTGAGATGGGGGCAGCAGTCTGGAGCGAGTCCCAGGAGACACACTGGAGACAGGCCCAAGGGTCATGCAGGCCCAGCTCCATGACTGGGCTCCATACTAGGCCCCCCAGAGCCTGTGTGCTTTGAGTGGGAAGACCTAGAGGGAGAGAGAAGCCACACTGGTTGTAGGTAGTAGTTCACCTGGTGTTGTAAGGAGTCTGTCGTCAGCATCTTCATGGGTCAGGTGATTCCTCAAGTTTTCGGTGTGTAAACATCACCGCCATAATTTAAATGAATGTAATTTCTAGGCTAAGTTCATAGCAAACTCATCTTTCAAGTTACACCTCTTCCAGGAAGCATTCCTTTTCTCTATCCATAGCATCTTGTATTCCTTGGTGGGCTTGTGACTAGTTAATACCTGTTCTCCATGAGTTCTCACCCCCTGGAGAGCCATAGAGACCCTGTCTCTGATAAAGCCCTACATTGTGTCCTGCATCCCATGGTGCCTGGCACACATACCAAACTCATAATAACCACTCACTGAACCACTGACTCAACCCACTGGAGACACCAATAACTATCATCTCCCAAAGAAAATATACTCCATTTTTTATAATTTTACTAACCAGCAATACCTCAGCAGTGCTGTGAGCACTTCACTTTCTTAGTAAAGAATTTTCCTGCCAGTGTCGTCATCCGAGGATGAATCAATCCAATCTGGAAAACAGGAACTGCAGCCCCGAAGGGCATCGTTCTGCCCTGTGTGTCCACAGATTTTAAATGTTCTTACCTGTGTTTCGCTAACCAGTCCTTCCTGAACCCATCCTGCATCCGTTTGACCAAACAACCCCCCTTTCTATGACTTGAAGACAGATGAGTACCTTTGGTTTCCTGTGCACCAGAAAAAATATCTGAAGACCCCACGTCCTGATCCCTGTCTCTGACTACCCGCTCTGGACACACCCAGGACAAAGCCCTGGTGTCATCTGGTGCGGAGAAGGCACAGAGGAGTCGGCATCTGCCCCATCACAAGAACTTTCTTTTCTCTACAGCCAGCAGCTCTGTGGCCTTTGATTGCCTCATTGCTTGGTTCCAGGGGACACTAAGTGCCCCGCTACACGCATGCTACAGGCTCTTCTACGGTTCTCCAGTGTCTCCTCATGTGACCCCTCCTCCCAGCTCACTGCCTGCAGTTGTCACATGTGCTCCCTTCTCTGGCTTCTTTGGTCGGTCCTGCTTTCCTGCTTTTCTGGCTCTTCCCCTCCACCGCGAAGGGCATCAGCACCTTGGTCAGCTCCTAGTAAACAGGGCTGGGTCCACCCCAAACACCAACTGCCTTGGGCTGACGGGGGCTCTCTCTCATCCAGGCCCCTCCCTACAGCTTCCTGAGGACATTATCCACAAGAAGATGTGAAGAAAGATTTCTCGGTGTTCCTGTGGCAACCTCTTGACTCTAATCTTGCTCTGAGCTTGAGTTTTCAAGCCTTCTATGTTCCTCTCTCTAGGACTTTCATCCAGCCAATACTTGCTCTAACCCTTGGCCTCTCATAGTATCTCTTTAAGCCACATTCACCTATACTGTCTTACCCTTGTTCCAAGTGACCTGACATCTTCTGGGGTCAAGTATTCAAGCTAAACTCAACCACAGATACTGTGTACGCTCCGTCTTTCCTGAGTTTATTTGGAATTAGGGAGGCAGCGATGGGCTGCACTTCCCCATCTTTTACCACCAGCCACGTAGGGGCCTGTCACGTACAGCTGCCCACTTTTCAATGATTGCTTTCCAAGCCAGGCCACACGTGACCCTCTGAGTCTCACTTCCTGCAAAAGCATAGGTGTTATGACACTTCCCGACCAAAGATGTCATCATGTGCACCTAACCAAACTCTGTGCACCATTCCTCCTGCTAGTAAACCAAGACTAGCACTGCAAAGACCTTACTCTAGTGTTGCAGTCTTGAGCAGGTGTCTGGCAATATCCAGTCTCATTGGGTGTCTTTTAAAGGCTCAGCGCTACAGGAGAAGTAGCTTGAACTTGTGGACACAGAACATAGATCAAATTCCAGCCCCAGTTTTCACTAGCTGTATGATAGACTGGGTCCTAGAACCTTCACACTGAAAAAAGACTTTCCAGTTTGGCAGGATGACATAAGAGTTCAATCAAATGAGACAGCCTTTTTAAACTCTACCAGTCCACCAGGAAGACCCAGACAGTGAAGCTTTTTATAACAAAGCTTCCTGTGCACCATGCTCAGAGACTGATATACAGCAGATTTGAAAGTGCAGTCACCAGGGCTGGAGAGATGACTCAGTGGTTAACTACTCTTGCAGAGGACTTGGGTTCGATTCCCAGCACCCACATGGCAGTTACAAACCATCCTTAACTCCAGTTCCAGGGAATCCAACTTTCTCCTCTGAACTCCATGGCACTGCACGACACAGGTGCACTCACACACACGCAGGCAATGCACTCATACATATAAATAAAAATAATAAAAAGAAAGCACAGTCATCAACAGACTTTGAGGTGGCGGGGTGGGGAGGAGCAAGCCACACTTATAAGATGCCTCGCCCAGGACCCTGATGAGAGAATGAAATTACAAGGTGAAATGCAAATATGGCCAGGAAGGGTGCAGCATAGTGCAGGTTAGCATTCTCACAGTCGGGAAGGAACAGATTCATACCTAGGAGTTTGAGGGCACAAGCTTGAGGGGCAGTGTGTGGGGGTAGCTGAAGAAAAGAGCGAGGGGTGGAACTGGTACAGGGACGTACGTCAGGTCTTCTGGCCCACTGAATGGAGGGGCAGAGCTTTTTAGAGGTGGAAAGCAAATACTTGATCAGGAGGGTTTCTGGTCATCCTGGAAGATGGTTTTGCAAGAGGATCACCTACCGTGACTTGGGATGGGGCAAAAGAATCTTAGCAGGCGCTAAGTGCCCGGCAAGATGCAGAGGTGTTCTCTCCCTACCTTGGCCCTTTATGTGACTTGGAAAGTGGGAGGGAAAAGTGGCCAGTGGATGGCTATTCATGTGACCCTTCGGGCGCTCAGGCTCTTGTACATCCAAGACACATGCATCAATGCCGAGTGTCTCCATTGGCCCTGGCACTTCTAGAAACTTCCATATTGTCTAGACCCCTCAACCACTCCGGTGTCTGCTTCCTCCCAGGTTTCTCTGTGTCTTGTGATGCTGTCCGTGCCTCCCTTTATCAAAACATCTGCAGAGGACCCAGCTTTCTCTCTGCGGGACAGGCTCATCCTTGGGCATCATTTCATTGATATAAATTTCTTCCTCTCATTCATTCTCTGTCAAATCCCACCATTCAATGTTTTGCCACATTTTCTCTTTTCCATGTCACACCTCTAGGTCTTCTACACCCAAAGACGTCTGTTCTTTTCACTGCAATATCAAGAATCAATTTCCGTTATGTGTCACTAAGAAGAGAGAACATTCATAAATGGTCTTAAGGCCATGTGCTTCTTTTTCTTCATGCCTTTAAAATCCCTTGCCCCTACCTTGGGACAGGGAAGCCCCCTGCTCCCATCTCATGTTGAGCACTAGTGTGACAAAGGAATTAGCTCTTTCCAAGACTTTGGGGTCCTTGGGTTGGACCTTTGTGTGCTCATTTAACACACATGTACTGTGTCCCCACAGAGCGAGCACTGGGGATACAGCGCTGAATGGCAAGTGTGGTCTCTGTCCCCGTGGAGCTTAGACTCCACCAGGAAATACAGAATGTTCAGGAAAGACCTTTAAGTGTGCTGAGTGCCACAAGAGAGGACGGGGAGAAGGGCAGAAAGCATCCTCTCACCCAGGGTCTCGGCTGCTTTCTTTTTCTTCCAGAGCCAACACCTGGTCATGCCTACCCACCCCAGGCAATAACTGCACAGATTCTCCTAAGAAGCTTTTACTTGCCCCCCTGTCTTTTTCCAAAGCCCCTAAAAGCCTTCCCAAACCATCACAGGTTCCAGGATAGGGCTTCACACTAGGCAGGTACTGACATTCCAAATACCCGAGATTGAAAAATGGTCCCCACAACAAAACATATGGGATGAAATGGATAAAAAGTGTTCAAAAATTAGAATCAATCGATGTGTTTTCTTGGTGGCTTAGAAGCTCACACCGGCTTGTGTGGAATTAACTTAGATTTCTTACAGTATTTGGGAAAGAAAGGACTGAGCATGAGCAAGTTTTGTATCACTGGGAACTAGGGAACCGGGGGGAGGCGGGGGAAGAGATGTCTGAGCTAGCCTGTTTCACTGCACTGCACAATGAGCCCTTGTGTATGGCCAGCTGTCACCACCCTCTCCTGGCCTTCCCCAATCCCATGTTCTGTGTTGGCGCCAAGGTTCCACCCTGTATTAAACACTGCAGCCCTTGATCCCCCAGGCATGGATAATGAGTGTGTGATTGCATGTTCTTTCTCTGACAGTCAGCTCTAGCTGACAACATTGTATTGAGATTTCACTTTGGGTATAAACTTTTTCTTCCCTTCTTATTTATTTTCTTTTTTAAAAAATTCCTATTGTGAACTTTCAAAGGCAGAGGAAAAAAACTCACATCTCTATCTCTTCTTTTTTGAAAAACAAAACCCAAAAGACTCCTGGGATTCTGCTCAGAGAACCAAAGATGTTTCCCCTCAGCTGAACTCGGCCACCATCATTGATATCCACCCTTCCTCCACCTACAGCATCCGCATGTATGCCAAGAACCGGATTGGCAAGAGCGAACCCAGCAACGAGCTCACCATCACGGCGGATGAGGCAGGTGGGTGGCGTGGGGTGGAGCGCATGCCCAGCGACCCAGGAGGGCACTCTTTGGGGCTCCAGTGTTTAAATATAGAGTCAGACATTTGCCCACTCCTGGTAATGTTCTTTGGTGGGTGTTTCCCATGGTCCTTTGTGCTTTAGCAATGCCCGAAGTGCTCAGCCTCCAACTGTGAAGGCTGTACGACAGGATTCACTTCCAGACTCCCGTAGCTGAAACTTGGAAGAAAAACAAGAAGCTAGCGGGATGGTGAGCGTTAAGGAGTGTTGCCGTTGTGCCATCCCTTTGCTTTGATGCACTGGGCTCAGTTTGATGGGGGGCCCCCCGAGCGTATCTCCTGAGACCCACGAGTCTGAGTATGGGAGAGACAGGTGAATACTGACCTAGGAAACTCCATGAGTGTGTATTGTGGGGGCATGGGGGAGCACAGATTATTCTGTTGATTGTCAGCATCACTGATTTACATAAACTGTTGGTCTTTCCCCATTACAAGCATTTCTTATTTAATGTTGAAAAATTTGGAGATAGAGATAAACATTTTGAGACAGACAAAGCCTCTTTGACCATCCTGCCACCTAGAGCGGACCTAGGGACGTGCCGATAGCACCTTCTAAGTAATTGTTGTGACCTGTTTAATTACTCATATGTGTATGTATGCATGCTCACCGGTGTGCACATCCACATGTGCACACACAGAGATGCACATGTGTGTATACACAGCCTGTAACACTTGAATCATTCCTGGCTGCCTGGCTGGAATTAACTGGTTTTTAGAGGAAAACTAGGTAGAGGCTCAGTGGCTGCAGGAGGTTAAACCAAAGCCCTTGGGCTGACCTTCTTTCCTGTCAAAGTCTAAGAAGTGAGATTTCTGAGGCAAACCGGTTGCAACATTACAAGTCTTCTGTTATGCGTGCGTCAATATTAGCCTCGAGGAAATAAGTTTAAGTGTATGAATCTTGCTTAACTGCAATACAGTGCCTGTTTCTCGGTGCAGGGAGACATCCAACCTTCTGTTTTGAGGGTGGATGACAGGTTGCCTGTCTGCTTCTGTGTCTGATCCTTGGACTCTCTACATATCTTCTCGGCTGTAAAGTAGACAGGATGATAAGCTTCCTCCTTACGCAGACGCATCTGACTGCTGGAAAACCAAATCCCAAGCTGCGAAAGTACTTTGCATTGCGTGTCGACATGGCTTTGGCAAAAGCAGAATCTTATTTAAATATTTGCCTACATGGTCCCCGAGTTCCTGGCATTTGCGTATGCTGGCTGCGCAGAGAATAGGCTTCTTGGCCGCAAACTCGGCCTCCTCCTGTCCTCTAACCCCCGTGTCTAATGCTGCACCATCTTCAGCCGGGTCACGCTGGCTGCCTTTTCCCTATGGACCCTTTGCAGCTGCTTCTCTGATGGCCACTTCGAGCCTCTCTGCTGCTGTGTTCGCAGTACCCTTTCCTCCTCACCTCTGCTGGAGTTTCCTGTTGCCATGGCAGCCTCTGTCTCTGCAGCCAGGAGGCCAAGTGAAGTGAACAGCCTTGGGTGCTAATCTGCAGGGCAACCGCTGGGCATCTCTGCAGACCAGTTCCTAATCAGACCCCTTCGGCTCTTGGGCTGGGCTCTTGGACATTACCTTGGTGCTGGCTATGGCCAGCCTCACGTGGATTCTCATTTCACATACAGATAAAAAAAGGAAGTGGACTCCAGGAGAGCAGAGCTACCAAGGGAAGCCAGTCTTTGTCTTGGGGCAGGGTTGGCGTGACTGAAATGAGAAAGTCGTTCTCCATGTGGGACTCCATGGGAGTGCCTCTGGTCTGACCAAGAGTCCCTCCGTAGAACTGACTGCATGGGCTGACAGGGGGGCTCTATCCATCTGAAGAGGCCTTTCCTGTCCTGTTGCTCCCTCTCCTGTGGATGAAAAGAATAACCCTCAAGCAGTGATCCTTGACCGGAAGCTTCTGGGAGCTATAATGATGTCATGTCCAAGTGTCTGGCACCTGAAGCCACCTCTTGCAGTGGCACCTGACCCGTGTCCTGAGGTGCTTAGCTGTGGACACCTCCCCCCCTGTTGCTTTTTGGCTATACTCAGTGACCCCCACAGCCCAGCTCTGACCTGCCTTTTGGTGCCCAAGTTACTGTGTCTGTCCTCTCCCCACTATGGAAAGCCCTTCAAACTCTGTCTTTTCTACACTTTTCCCAGAAGACCCAGGTCAGAGATGCTTCTTTTCCCACAGTAGCTTTTCCAGTCTCTGGGTGGGCTCCATGCTTAAGTCTCCCCGGCACAGATCATATGAGGCTTACTGTCATTCCTCCACTGACCCTGGTATTGTGAACTGTGCTGTGACCCCCCCCCCACCTCCATACCAAGGACCAGGTGCTATTTCTATATCTATCCTGAGTGTATGTTGTACAGAGAATTTCTCAGTGTGTGTGTGGATTCAAAGTATACATTGTTCTGCGTGAGTGTCACAGCGGGGTTTGTGTGTCTGATGAGAAAATATATGTTGGATGTCGGGTTAAACCCACAGTGGAGGTTCTGAAGGATGTTAGGATCTGAATGCTGGAGTCCCCCCAAATTCTCCTACCCCTCCACCCCCCAGCATCACTTTAGTAAGAGGTGGGGCCTTGAGGAGCTGATGAGGCCACAGGGGTGGCACACTAATGAATAGAATTAAACTCTTACAAGAGACCCAGGAGAGTTTGCTCACTCTTCCACCATTGGAGGACGTGGGGAGAAGGTGCCATCCACACTTTCACCACACATGGAATCTGCTGGTGCCCAGACACTGATGTCCCAGATCTAGGGAACAATTTCTGTAAAAGTCAAGGTTGTGGTTCTTATAAGACACTTGGTTTGAGGCTGAAGAGATGGCTCAGTGGTTAAGAGCACTGCTGCTCTTGCAGAGGACTCAGGTTCAGTTCCCAGCACTCACATAGTAGCCAACAAGTATCCATAACTCCAGTTCCAAGGGATTTGACACCCTCTTCTGACCTCTGCAGGCATTGCACAACATGGGTGCACGTACACACATGCACGCAATACACTCAAACACATAAAATAAAAAAAATCATAAAAGGTATATGTACTTAGATCTAAGTGCATCCAAATAAAATAAATTTAAAAAGAGGAAAATGCAACAGAGATTCCACATGATCAGCAGAAGCTTCAAATGTGTTATATTTTATATTTGTATTTTATTATATTATATTTTTTCTTTGTGGAAAAGTCTGAAGACCCCTTTGCCCCATGGGAAACTGATTTGGGATTCCACAGCATCCATCTGAAGGCCGACGGAAGAAGGAGCAGCTGCCTTACCCACGCCTTCCTAATGATGGAAAATAACATTTCTCAAAGCCTCAACACTGGTATTTTTTATGCAAAAAGTGCCCAAATGTGCTATCATACTAGTTAAATACACTTGACCTCAGAAAGCAGGCATGCATCAAAGATCACACAATTTAGCACATAAGTCTTGACTCCCCCAACAACCCTTAGTCCCCCTAAAAAAGGATAAGTCAGGAGAGTAAGTGGAGACACAGTCAGTGTTAACAAGATCAGCTCTTAATGGACCAGAAGTGCATCCGACTTCCCAGGGATCGGTGATACAGATTAGGCATGCCACATCCATGGCTGACCCTCACCTCAGACCCACTTCTCCATTAGCAACTGCGCCCTGAAGGTTGTATGTCACAGAGTGCCTTGTGTCCGGGTGTGGGGTGGTTGATCCCGTCACCGTCTTCATTGTGAATCTGTGCATCAATGTGTAAGCTCAGTTATGCCAGTGCTCCCTGAACACCACTGCATTTTCAGACTATCAGAAGATGGGAGGTTTGGATTTCAGAGAGTTCAAAACACAGTATTGGCTTTCCAGGGGATCTGGTGCTAAGAGTCTCCGTGAGCCAGGCGTGCCCTGTGCCTGACAGAGCCTCCCGCCGTCTCCTATAGCAGTTTGACGCTCTTTTCTTTAACCTTGGTTTGGGGAAAACCGTAGAAATGAATCCTGAAGAAATCATCAGTATTCCTGCTGGGCCTTATACATAAGAAATGTAACCCTGATGCTATCCTAGAATTTTCTGGGAATGTTCTAGACTGTTACCAGAATGTTCTTTCACTTTCTCCTTCGCTTTCTGGTTTTTGCCTAAGTATCATCTCAATCAATCTATCTCAACCACCCTATTAGAATTCTACTCACTGTCTGCTCTGGTGTGCTGGGACCCCTCTTTCCCATAACACTCTCCTTAGAGAAATCCCATGACCCTTATCCCTCTGAGACAGTGGTACTGTCTCCAGTTGCATCCATTTTCCTGCGAAATGACATGACTTTATTCATGGATGAAAAATAATCCACTGCCTCTAGGAACCCCGTTTTCTTTATCCATTCCTCTTCTAGTGGTCACTCAGACTGGTTCCATAACTCAGCTATTGTGAACAGTATGGCAACGAACACCAGTCCTGGCCTCCACTAGGACCCATAGTGGATGCTCAGTCAACTCTCCAACATGGAACGTAGAGGTGGATGTTTGCAAGGAAGACCATCAGGATGTCTCACTCCAGTTCAATAAACAAACTCAGAACTCTTGCTGTAGCCAGGGCGTGAATACCTGGTGGACAGAATGACCTTGAATTTCACTGCCATTTGAGTGCAACAAGATGCTGTCAGGGACAGGAGCTCAGTGGGCGGGAAGCAACCAGTTCAGGAGGAACCCATGCAGACCAGCCAGTGAGTTCAGGAGGAACCCATGCAGACCAGCCAGTGGGCCACGAATGGCCAGGAGAGAGCATAGCCTGGCCCTGTGCATTTGGCAGTTAGGGAGCTCTCTGGTCACTGTTTCTAGCCAAACAGAACGAGTAAAAGTTGCCTGACCATGCACCTTGCAAAACACATTAGAAACTTCAAATAGTCTCCACTGCTTGCTGGTTTACAGACTGCCTTCTACAGTTGTGTGGAGATGATTCTGGAAAATGACATTGATCACCCATCTTCACCTCCAGTCTCCTCCTCCCTCAG